TTTTAAAGTCACGTGATACTGGTGGCAAAAAACGTATGTCCATTGATTATGGCCGCGTTCACCAGATACAAACGTTGGTAAACGGTTTGCGATTGTTCTGCTGAATGCTACGTTGAATTTGTGTTAAAACCAAACATGTTTTGCAAACGGTCGCCATTTTTGCAAACATAATTTCGGAGTGTTTATAATTTTCTGTGTGGTGACCTGTCATTCGGAAGGTGACGTTCTATCATTGAAAAGCTGAATCGTTCAGCAGAACCAAGAGTTTACCCAACATATTCTGTTGGGATTTGTAAACTGTTTACAATGATTACAATCCGTTTTGGTTCTGGTGAACGTAGCCTATGTCGTTGATATCACCTACAAAAAGCATACAATCAAGGTCCTTATTCTTGGAATAGGGGAGCAGCGGAACACTTGTTCTCCTAGGAATGCTGCTCTCTGTTCCAAGAATAAGGACCCTGATTGGCATTTCGCGCACTAGATACAAAAATAACTATAGGATTATCATCCATTAGTAAAAATTGTCTACCTAAACTTAAGATACAAGATGTCCTTTTTTTATTTTTGCCATTCAACTGGATATGTATGTATACTTCGATGTATACTGTATTGTTTTACAGGGTTGAAATCAGTTTTACGCTGAATGCCGTGAAAATGTTATAACAGTTATCAGTGACAATTTGCTTGGGTTCGTCCAATCAAATCGGGTCAAAAGTATTGAATATTTAATAGGGTGTTCATTTTAAAACTTACCACACCTATTATCTCAAAGTTGAAAAAATTTTCTAATAAATCCCTGAAAACACGTCAACCGAGACGTCAACTATAATTTGAAGGGGGATATGCAAAATTCACCTCCCTCCTTTCAACCCCTCAGCCCCCAGAGCCACCACCTAGAAAATCTCAAATGGGAAGGGGGGGGGGGGGGTCAAGTGATACATCATTTTGGTTTTTAATTCCATACATTTTGGTACTAAATTTCAATACTGAAGTTCAACTGTTTTGGAAATATTGACAGTTGAAAATTGACTTTTTTGCAACTTTGAGGGTGTAAAACCTAAACAGCTAATTTTTAAGGAAAACCGATCTTACATTCTTGTCTTAAGCCAGGGACACATCTATCATGCATTCTTCCGTTCCGACTCCGATCATACAATCAAGGTCCTTATTCTTGGAATAGGGGAGCAGCGGAACACTTGTTCTCCTAGGAATGCTGCTCCCTGTTCCAAGAATAAGGACCCTGATTGTATGATCGGAGTCGGATCGGAAGAATGCATGATAGATGTGTCCCTGGCTTTAGATTTTCATAAACTCTCATTTGACACCAACTTTGAATTTAACTGGAGATTAAATTTAATTGGAATTTTCAATCATAGATTAAATTCAAAGTTGGTGTCAAATGATTGTTTATGAAAATTTAAAATGAGGATGTAAGATTGGTTTTTCTTTGAAATTAACCGTTTAGGTTTTACAGCCCGTCAAAGTTGCAAAAAAGTCAATTTTCAACAGTCAATATTTCCCAAACAGTTAAGCCTAGTACTCATAAGCGCGAAATTCGCTCTTTTTTGACATTGCTTCGATAATTTGACGTTTTATGCGTGAACCAAACGTCAAATTGTCGAAAGAATGTCAAAAAAGGGTGAATTTCGCTGTTATGAGTACTAGGCTTTAAACCGGGAGTTGAACTTGGGTATTGAAATTTGGTACCAAAATAGTTGTATTCCTTTCAAGAGTTTAAAACACTAGAGCTACTCGCTCTGGGGTTAGTCGACCCCGATTTGAAAGGAACAGATTCGCTGGCTTTCATGCATTTAAATGGTTGAGTCCTGGCTTGAGCATTCAGGTGCAACAAAAACTTTTCGAAATTAATGAGCGCGTAACACACCGGAGCTTCTCCTAGGTGTGAAAGGAATACAACCAATGTATGGAATTAAAAACCCTCCAAAATGATGTACCATCGTCACCAAAAGTAACTGGGACAGCATCTCATTAGCTCTTGTCCTATTATATGAATTTTATTGTCAAATATTTGTCAAACTATGCATTAAATGCATTGAAATGAATGACAGTAGAATTAGTCCAGGAGATTATTGTGCATTATTTGTGTCCCAGTTACTTTTGGTGACGATGGTACCTATCACTTGACCCTCCTTCCCATTAAAGATTTTCTAGGGGGTGGCTGGTGGCTGGGGAGTTGAAAGGGGGAAGGTGAATTTTGCATATAAAAACTCATCCCTCTTCAAATTATAGTTGACATGTTTCAGGGATTTTTTCAAAAATTTTATAACTCCGAGATAATAGGGATGGTAAGTTTCAAAATGAACACCCTGTATATTATTTAATTTAACGTTTAGGCCCAGTTGTACAATCTTGGTTCAAAACAGAGTTTAGCTGAACCCGACTCGTACTTGAACTTGCTGTCAAAAATGATAGAATTTGATTAATAGCTGACAGCGATGTATTTTAAAAGCGAAAGCTCAAGTACCAGTCAAGTTCAGTTGAACTTTGTTTTGAACCGAGATTGTACAACTGGGGCCTTAGTGAATAATATTTTTGCTATTACATTTTGCATGACATACATTGTAAAACTGATTCGAACAGCGGCGGATTTAGGATTCCTTCTAGGGGGGGGCGATCCATCAGGGCCTCAGGCTCAGATAAGAAATAATAAAAAAAACGACTTAAATATACAGAGTGGCAAAAAAGTCGCGTATAATACCTGTAACTTTCTAATTACCTCGTATACGAAAAAGTGACCTTAATGAAAGTTGCTCAGTAAATTAGGGACATAAAGCTTCCGTATTTCTTGCTCGGTATCCGTATCGGTATCGTACTGCGCATGTGCAGAAGCGATACGGAGGCCGAGATACCGTACGTACAACGTAACGTTACGGCCCTCTCGCGGTATCCGTATCGGAACGTATATTGACATTCCTGACGCATGTGTCAAATTTCAAATGAATATAACCTCCCTTTTCTTCCGGGTTGATTTAATTTGTTTAGTTTTTACTTTCTTGAGTTTCTTGTGTTTAGTGCTTCTCTATCGCAAAAAAAATAACAATTTTAAGGTTAGATATAAAAGGTGGGTTTATACAGCACATAACATAACATAAGAAATAAGATAAAATAAGACATAACATAATATAAGAAATAAGAATTTTGTGGCGTTTATACAGAAAATAACATAACATAAGAAATAATTTCTGACCAATCAGCTGGTACGTGTACTTATGTAAACTCTACCGAAAACACTATATTTGATCAAAAAAATTATTAATTAATAATTTAGCAGTAACAGAAAATCAATATCAAATTCCAAAAAATTATCATTAGCTGAAAACAAAATCAAAATATTTTTTTTTTTGTTGGAATGTTTTGTTTACTACTCCGCCATTGCCGACATCAAGGGAGGAGCATGCGCAGATCCGTTTTCACATAAAATAAGACATAAAAGTTAAAAGTTAACCAACTTTCCTATTTCTTATGTTATGTTATGTTATGTTATTTTCTGTATAAACGCCATAGGGGGTTTCCATAAGGTCAACTTTTTATCTTATGTTATGTTATTTCTTATGTTATGTTATGTGGCTGTATAAACCCACCTAAAAACGCCGAAGTTTTGAGACAAAAATGTCTAGGTTATGAAATGCGTTTACGTTTACCGGAACAGGGAGCGCTTTAACAGCCTTTTCGCTTGTCAACGTATCTAGTTGCGTTACGGATACCGATACCGATGAATTATTTCAAGTAGCTTTATGTCCCTAATATTTCCCACAATTCTACTTAAACGTATTGCCTGTGTCACTTCTGGTTTGTTTGCTATCTAGACCAACTTTCTTTTTTTCAAATAAAACACCCTGTATGTGATTGCATATTTGGATTCTACGTAAAATTCTGAGCAGATTTCATGCGATATACCCTATACCTAAGTTCAACTGTTTTGGAAATATTGACAGTTGAACATTGACTTTTTGCAACTTTGACAGGCTGTAAAACCTGAACGGTTAATTTCAGAGGAAAACCGATTTCACATTCCTATCTTAGATTTTCATAAACTATCATTTGACATCAACATTTAATTTAATCGGAGATTAAATTTAATTGGAATTTTCAATTATAGATTAAATTCATTCGGATTTACGTCATCCGCAGTCGATTCGCTCCCAGCTCGCTGCTGCCAAACGTATTTAAAAGTATTAAAAATTTGGAAAAATAGCAAAAACCATATGGAATTTCATGTTGGATAATGCTTGATGAATATGTTTGTGTTTTCGTTAAAAATTTCGTTGTTGCGTCGCTCAATAGGGGGGGGCGCGCGCCCCCCGCGCCCCCCCCTCTAAATCCGCCACTGGATTCGAACTCTGTTAAAAGATAGGTACCTCCCAACATATATTTTGCCATCAATAAAATAAGGCCCAAGCGGCATTGTTTATGTTCCCAATATTATCAATGTCCTGTCTATCTTGGGAAAAAATACACTATAGTTTAGTGAATTTTCTAGGAAGAGCTTTGTGTTTGTGGTACCTACCTAAAACCAGTTAGGTAATAAAACCTCACCAAACTGTTTACGAGTACCTACCTAAATAAAATTAGATTAGGGATTTTTGCAAAATGATGTGGGTAGATGAAAGGTTATTTCCCCGGTTCTTTGTTCAAGTCTGCCCAGAAACTTTGAGAGACGACCTTGTGTGCTCTGCCAAAGATGGACTCTATAACGGTTTTTTGCATGGTTGGAAATTATTTTACAAAATGAAACCAAATAATAAAGAAACCCATCTTACAATAACAACAAAAACAAATAAATACAAAATACTTTAGGTTACCAAAAAAATTATTGTTTGTTATTTCATTAATAAAAGCGACTAAAGTTTTGGTACAAACATAAACAAAAAGCATGCTTTCCACATAAAGGGGAATTTATTTATAATATTTACTACCTAGATTCTATTAATTTATGTTTTTTTTTAAGTCGATTAATGTTATTCTTATGAACTTACCCAACCATTTGCGGTAATTGGGGTGGTAAAACCGGTGGAGGAATGGCGTACGGGAACATTTTCGCCCCGACGGTTGGCGGATTTTCGAACAACATTTTCGCGTGCGTTTTTTTAGAGTCACACTAATCTACCAACAACTTTCAAAATTCAACGGTCGTTTTTCTAATGATGGACGCGGTGCAAAAGGTACAATAACACGCATACACCTTACGATATCCTATAGAAGACTGACTGGAAAAGGAATAACAGAAACGAACCAACCGGCTTCGGTTGGAAGGCAGCTGCACGTTGTCGGATCCGAACGAAACCCAAACGATAGAATACGAAGAGGACGATGGCAAGGCAGGCAAAACGAGCAGGCAGCGGCGGCGGCCCTTTCTGCCGGCTGTTTTGTTCCTAGTTCCGACTGTTCCGACCCGACCCACCGCACCACATGCTGCCATGGCCTGTGCGAAGAATGGAAGCGGTCATGGTCAATTCGACTAACTTGAATTTTAAATTAAAATAATAATTTTGAGACTTTGTTTTAACCTTGTTTTGGTATCTCTCAGTCGAATCTTGCGATTTTTCAGGATTTATCAGAAAGAAGGTTCTTCAATTAGGCAATTCAATCCATCTGTCAAAATGGAAAATTCAATATGGCGTGGCGGCCAAGCAAGTTTGTTTTGATTATGTTTTTATGCTTATTTTAAATTATTTTGCATAAAGTTTGGTTTGCAACTTTGATTTTGATTATTTAATTAAATATTTGTTGACTAGGTACCTGAATTATTAAATCGGGCAGAAACTAGATATTTTTTTGTGTTTTTTGGCTCATGTGTGGCCGCCACGCCCTCTTGATTGTCACGTGGTTTGAATTGCCTAATGATGGGGAGACAAACAAAGCCTTTGAAGGTCTATTTATGGCCGTTGCCATCAACTATTTTAGGGGAGCCTTAACGATAAGTATTCCCTAAACTGACATTATTTCTCCATGTAAAAATGTCATTTTAAGGAATACTTATCGTTAAGGCTCCCCTAAAGTTGGTGGAAACGGCCATTATACACAGAGATGGGCACCTACGTGTAAACAAAGATTGTCTACGTCTGGTGTAAACAACGGCGTAGACAATGTAAACTATGTAATCTATGTAGACAACGTGTAAAATATGTAGACAACGCGTAAAGTATACAATTTTTGACAGTTGGCAGGCCTTTAAGGTTATGTTTCTGTTTTTGCTTTGTTTTGTTTTTTGCTTTGTAAAGCCTAGTACTCATAACTGCGAAATTCGCATTTTTTTGACATTGCGTTGACAATTTGACGTTTAAGCCAATTTCAAGCGATTAACCACCGGTCATCTTGACACATAAGCAATGCATTTAACGTCAGTTAACACCAATTGGTTGAAAAATGACGCTTAATTAATGGTTTATCTGTCAAGATGACCAATCGGTCAATCGCTTGAAATTGGCTTTAATGCGCGTATCAAACGTCAAATTGTCAAATGACAAAATTCGCAGTTATGAGTACCTACTAGGCTTAATGTTAATTAAACTGCAGATAATGTCTAATTTGATACAATATAAATTTAATGCAATGCAAACTTTCAAAAAAATTACTCAAATTTCAAATTTTCTGTTGTCTACATTGTCTACATAGTTTACCTAGTCTACATGGAAAAAAGTGGATGTAAACAATACGTAGACAACGAGTAGACAAACAGCGTAAAGTAGATTTCATGGTCTACGGCACATCCCTGAATACACATTATAGGGCAATCCAAACAAAATGGCAGTCAATGCCAAAAAATTGGCGCCATTAATTTAATTCAAACAACCGCGACATTTTTCATTAAAAAATTGTTTTTTGTATATTTTGTGGTGTTTTAAGATGATTTTCTAGTGCTTGGAAGGAGAATTGTCGTATTTTAAGATGGAGAGTTTTTAGTTTAAGAAATTATTAGTGGAAAACCCGGATGTTTGCAAAAGTTATGATTTCTTTGTGACAAACCTTTACCTACTAAACAATTAGGTAGGTACTATCCAGGATTTGTTTCCTGTTTAGTTTTTTCCTAACCAAATCCTGAATCCTGATGTTTATTTTATTTGTCTGCTATTCAAGGTATCGACACAAGCTCATCTGGAGGATAGTAAATGGCTTGGATCCATCCATACACCGTTCACAGTTTATGTAGAGACACTTTTTGGTTTTTTAATATGGATTTCGTCAGATTTTTTCTCTTTCGCTACAATCCATAAAGCCCTTACAAAGTACAGACAAATCGTTTTTCTCCGTTAAAAACCTGTGTTTTGTCTCTGCAGAAACGGCATGAAACGAGACTTTCTCGCGATTAGAACGGCTTCCACAACTAAGTACAATACATAACGTATGCATTTTCCAAAAAATCAACACTTTATAGACTTTATACAAATCAAAAATCGCAATAAAACGGCATTTTTTTAAATAAAAAGGCATTGGCCTCCATTTTGAATTTCATTTTGACAGGTCGTTGGATTGCTATTAGCTATTACGTCAAAAATCACATAACATCGCACCTTTCCTCTAAAAAAATATTAGACCGTAGAGGCTAACTTCCAAAAAGTGCAACGATAGTATAACGCTAACGTAATTATGCATATGCTTGTCAACGTACAAGCAAAATTAGCGGATATCCGCAGAACTTGTGCTGAAGAAGTTAATTGTTGTTTTGTTAAAAAAAGCTTTGAAATTATAGTAAAAACTTTTTGGTAAAACCAAAGTATAACGTATGCCGCGCATACCAATCGATATTATATAAAAAATGAAAATCCATCGGAAACGGATCGGCATACGGTGTACGTTGGATCTAAGGATCGGCCCTATCATTCAAAATATGGGAAATTTTAGGGGCAAACGCCGACCCTTAGATCCCACGTAGGTACCGTATGTCGATCGTAGACTTTGGTTTGATGAATTAATTTTTATTCTTAAATATCGATTGGTATGCTCGTCATACCTTATAATATCATTTCAAAGCTCGTTTCTTTTTTTAACAACAAACAATTAACATCTTCACCGCAAGTTCGGCGGTAATTTTGGTTTTACGTTGACGAGCATATGCATAATGAATGATAAAAATCTCAGAGGGCATACTCTAAGGACATACCTATTTAGGTATACTATCGTTGCAGTTTTTGGCACTGGGCCTATGGCCTATTATAGAAATTCAGAATATAATTCTTTTCGAACCAAAACGCAGCCATAAACAGGGAACGCTACACGACTCTCATGACGTCACGCGATTAGGTGTGGAGTCAGCACCTGTCTCTGTTTCATACTTAGAGCAGGTAAAACCCTGTCCTACGGACATAAGGAGTAGGAACGCGCCATTCTGCTATGAAACTAAAGTGAAGCCAAGTTTTTGACAGGTGTTTAGCACCAAATACAGCTAAAGCATTGAAATTGCCTATATTTTTTTTTTTATACCGCCATTTTTGGTGCCAAAATACCTGGATTTTTCCAGGGATTTTCCCTGCTTCATTTTCCAACTACCTGTTACTTTATTTAGTCTGGTACCAAGTGGTAACTTGGTAACTTGTTAGAGACGAAAGGGAGAAGAAAAGTGGTGCGTAAAACTTGGGCGTAACCTAAGAATATTCACTGACACCTCAACTGACACCGCCTAATGACAACCATGTCTTTGGGATCAGTGGCACCCGAGGTGGCACCAAAAACAGCAAGGAAATAAACCAATAAAATTTTTACATAAAAAATTGTTTAGTTTCGCCAATAACCACGCCACTGTGCTGTCGTTCAGGCTCTAACCAATAAAATCAATAATCACGCCTCTCCACAACCATCATTTTGCAATGTTGCCGGATTTTCCTCTATTTGAAAACACTACACAAGCTCAAATTGCAAAAAAAATGTCACCAACTTGTTTATTATTTGTTTTCGTCAAGTTTGGCAAAGCAGCAATTCTATTGCAGTTCGCCGTTTCGCTAGCCAGACTATACTTCTTTACCTTTTACCTGCTCTAAGGTTTCATATCGTATATGTGTTTGCAATTTATATAATTTTTATATACCTACTAGAAAGGGATACGTTCAAAAACGTCTGTTCTCGCGTTCTCTCAGAAATCACAAACCAGCAGTCAGAGCGAATTTCATTGAAAGCTAGGTTGTTGACGATTTGCCCAATCAAACTGGTTTGGATTTCTGTGAGAACACCGAGTCGTTGGTGCATAAGTACAGACCATTTTTACGACAAAACAAGCAAATTGGCTCACGCAAACATTTAATTAGGCAATTCGAATCAGCTGATAATTCAAGATGGCGACGTCGTGAAGGTGCCTTTACATTCAATTCCAATAGACCTATCTCGCATAAATAGAAAAAGAGATCTTAATTATAATAAATACAAGTTAGAAAGTAACAAAAGATAACATGCGCTCGCAATTTTCCTTTCCTCTCAGCAGATGGAAAAGTTGCAAATCAAAAATCCTTACGGTAAACTGCATGAAATTTTATTTTTTTTTTCCACGCCATTTCCAGTTCAATGCAACCACTGGTCCAGAATTGAGAAGCTTGACGGAGCTTCTGTAGCCTCCGATTTGAAACGGATCAATCAACTAGGTTAGAAGTGACCAATTTGGAGATAGTGACATCAAACGATTTTTGAACCTAAGGCGCCAAGAAACTGAAGAAAATAAAAATCTGGCGAGCAACGAAAGAAAATCAAGGAGCACAATTCAAGTCATCATTTAAGTAGACGTTCTAGAGATTCCTACGATGGGAAATACTACGAGTCCTACGATCGTCTGCCAAGGCGCAAACAAGGCGACTGCAGCATGGAAGTCAATCTTCTTCTAGTTCCCTAGGAATCTCTTGATGTCATGGGAAGAAGAACCACGCAAGCGTAAGAGTGTTAAAGCATGTGTATTGTTGGAATGATGAAGATGATTACGGGTATAACGATAACGACAAAGATAGATGCTCAAATCGGAAGGATCTCATCGATTCAAATGATCAAGCAATTACGTTATTCTAGAGGTTTCTGGATTAAATTATTTTGCATATAAAGCGCGTAGTTTTCAAGTCAGTGCAGTTTGAATAAAAGAATAAATATTTTTGTATAAGGTATGCCTCTCCAGGATATTCTGGAGAGTAATTTATAACTTCTGGCAGAGTTCTCCAAGTAGCACATGAAAGATGAAACCAATGGATACAAATGAAATATAGTCAAGTTTGCCAAAGCAATAGTTATGGAGCTTCATGATAAGCTGTAAAAATGAAGAGATTCCAGTTCCTCTACCGTAACCATGGGCTTTTTCACTAAAATTTAAATACGTAATTTTAGTATAAAATCCCAAAGGAGGGACTATTTTAGGCATATATACCAAAAAAAAACAATTCTACAAGGTTAAATAAGTTTTTTACAGGCATTTGAAACTAGCGAAATTCAAAATCATTTAAAACGCGCCGATTCGCTGACGTCACATAAATATTTTCCATTTCGCTCATCTTGTTGCAAGAAGCTGACCGGCTCGGCAGTGTTGCGCTCTGTAAAAGCACAGCAAGGTTCGAATGCGCTGTTGTCGGTTGTGACTGAATGTAGTGCAACGTAAAAAA